TGGACTCTATTTCACCCAGAGGCAGAGAGGACAGTCAGGGGGGGGGCAGTCATCTGGGTTAAACTGTTCAAATATGGTTTATTCCCTGTAAGTAAAATGGCACTCAGTGACTCTAGCCCCTTCATTGAGATGAAGTCAGGCTCACCAACATTGAGGATTCAGGAGATTCAGCAGAGAGGATGCAGAGTGAGTCATACAGAGTTATTCACTACAGTGAAAATTCAAAGTGAATTTTAAATTTAAGGCCAGAGCAGTCGAACTGAAAGCACAGCTGAATGAAAAAATATTTCCAGTTCAAATATTTTCTCCTTAAATTTGAAATTCACTGCGAATTCTCACTTTAGTGAATAACCCTGATAGTAATAGCCAAACTGCTGGTTTTAATCATTCAGGATTTTCCTCATCAAGAGATTGTATCATGGGATTATCAATGAGCAGATGTAGTTCCCATCATAAAAAAAAAGGATTTAAAACAAAACAAAAACAAAAAACACCCAGGAAATTGCATACCTGTGAGTTTAATGGTACAGCCCACTGTAGTGGTTATGGTGCCAGAGATACCCTGGTACCTCCCCAAAGTAATCTGTCAAAACATTTGAGAATAGTTTGACAACTTACCTGGTTCCCCCTTTACCACAACCGCTATTCTACTTCAGGACAAGCCCAATCCATGAAAGTGCTCATAGGCTGAGAGCACTCAGTGCATGGCCCTGCTTAGCTCATTGAAGCTACCCGGAGAATCTGGAAGCAGTTCCAAAACCATGCAACATATTACTCTAGGACAGCACCAGGACAGTCTTGAAAAATAACTACTACAGCAGCTGTAGTACTTATGGTGGTCAAAGTGCTCCTTTAACATCTGTGGTTGGGAAATGTATGTCTGATTTGAATGCGTATTAAAACATACTATTAATTCTGAGCAACAGTCATTAGAAGTAGTCAACAAGGGTTTATGATATGAACAACCCACCATCACTTTACCTTTTTTTGTGAATCATAGCTTTAGTTCAAACGTTTGAGATGAAATGGTCAAACTGGCAGCGGGTGTTAAATTATGTATAAGTTGGAGATCAGCTGCTGGAGCAGTGTTATCAGGTAAAACCATCATCAGAAAAGTAAAAGGTTTGCCCACCAGAAAACACGAAGCATTAAAGGGAGTGATTAGGAAAAAAGAGACAAACTGAGATTTACTCCCCAGTCACCAGATTTAAAGGCAGGTACGAGAGATATATTCTTAAAACAATGTATGAAAAAAATTAATTTAAACATCATACATTGAGATTGGGCTAATAGGGACAGGTAACACAGGTCATTTTAAATGATCAATAATGAATCATTGATTAATACTGAGCATAGCCAATAAGTAGTGTCATTAAATGAACACTATAACATTAGCAATGCAAACACGTATTCCTAACACTATAGTGTCTCCCCAATATGTTGCTTAATTGCCATGTCATCCAATTCAAAGCTTCTCATAGTGAAGTTTAGGGACATGAAACTTCCATCCGATTAAATGCTTCCAAAATCCCATAACCGAGTCAAACTCAGTTATTAGTGTGGAAGCGCCTCTAGTGGATGTCAGGAAGACATCATTGTCCCTACATTGAAAACATTGTCACATCTGCTAAACGTGCAAACCATACATGAGATGAAGTGGTCTGGGTACCTTCAGTGTAACTTTAAAGGGATACTCTAAGCACTATAACTACTATAGCTTAAACTTAGTCCAGTATGTGTGATGCTGAGAGTCGATAGGTACCATCCCCAATTTTTTATCAAACCATTTAGGAGTAGTTTGACAAAAAATAGGGCTCTCTCCAACACCTTTTGCCCACCCATCTCTTGATGGTTTGATAATGTAGAATTTACATTATCAGTATTAATCTTGTAAACCTGAATGGCAATAAAAGGCTGTGACTGCTGGGAGCAGATTAGTCCAGTGCTCTTAGCATGATATCATTATCCAGTTTGAACAGAATTGATGATGTTAATGCAAAAATGAAAATGCTGCATTATCAAACCTGCTGAAGAGGGACATCTATGGATGTTGAAGAAAGCCCATTTTTGTCAAGCCGCTCCCAAACCATTTTACAAAACGAGGTGTGGCACCTTCAAACCCTATAGGGAGATTTAGTTGTTATGGTGCTTGAAATAGCTCTTTAAGTGATCTGCAGTGTTTTAACACCATCCCCCACCCAGGGCCGGTGCAAGGATTTCTGTCGCCCTAGTCAAAGATCCATTTTGCTGCCCCCTCATGACACACACACTCTCTCTCTCTCACTGACAGACAGACAGACACTGACAGACATACATACATACACTCACTCTGGCAGACACACACTCTCACTCTCACTGACATACATACACTCACTCACTTAATGACAGAAACACACTCACTGACAGACATCCACCCACTCACTGACACACACACAGGCAGACACTCACTGACATACATGCACTCAGTCACTGACAGACAGACAGACACACACACACACAGGCAGACACTCACACACACTCTCACTGACAGTCAAACACTCACCTCCCTGGGGTCCAGTGTGGGGCAGCTTCTCACTCCTCCAGCGCGCTGTTTAGTAAGCCGGGGCCGAAATTACTTCATATTCTGGCTCCCGACATCACAGAGGGAGCGCGAGGGAGGAGTGAGAGACTGCAAGAACAGCCTTCCTTTTCCTCTCCTCCGGACACTGGGATTTGTTGGCAGAGCAGGCACCTGCCATCAAGGTAATCAGGTGCCTTCACTGCCTTACCTAGTGCACAGCTTTGGGTGCGACCTGAGGTGGCCCCACCTTCAACACTAACTATATATTGGACAATTTTAATTCTAAATTGCAAAGCAATGAAACACGTTATTCAGCTTTTTAAGCCCATATCCCTACCCCTTTACCTGTACTTAAGTGATGGCCTTAGGGTGCCAATATAGACAATTCATTCTGCATTGCTCCACAGTAATTCATTGCTTTGTTTTACTTTTTTTGCATATGTTAGCTTTTTTTTAATCCTTGTAACTACGAGAGATATTTGCCAGTAGTACCAGCACAGCGTAGACATAGTTACATTCTTTTTCCTTGTTTTGATCTAGATAAATCTGTGCTTGCGGCCAGCCCTGAATTTGGATTATTTTTGATTATGTAGAACTGACATTTAAAAAATCTGCATGAAGGTTTCTCGACGCAGACCTCTTTTTACATTTGCATTTAGCTATACAGCTTCTAAGGTTTTATTGCATGATTCCATTCTAGCATAATAGTTTAGGACAGACCTTTACTGTATCTCTTCAGCAGAACCTTTCTCTCTCTATACTCCCTCATCTCACAGAACCCTTATTCTGCACTGCTGTTATTTACTAAAAGGGACATACCCACCACTCTTCACATAAAACCACTGACCAGTTTCTTGCTGATATGAGGATACTCTGCAAAAACCATCTCTCTGTAATGGATCTGATGACCTACAGATCCCACGTTCTTCGAGGGTAAGTGCAATTCTTCTGCGCTCTGTTTATATACTGATCAATGGTAACTCCTGTTTCTCCATGGTTGTTACTGGTTTTCCATGATTTTATCAGTATTATTTGAATAATGCAAGCACTTTATTGATTTTTCCGTTTCAATATTTTCCAGACCCATGACATACATTTAACATTTGACCTGCCCATAGTCAGTGATATGTACACCATCCACATTAGGAAAAGTCATTGTTTACCGGTTCTGTAATATGTTCTAGGAAACCTATATACCGGGCAGTTTTCTTTGGGGTTGCATGTAACAGAGCATAGGCTTCAGCGATGGGATTAATAACATTTCTTTATATAGGGCCAAGAACTGATGCAATATATATATATACACAAGAATAGATAGCTTGGCACTCACCCTGTCTCTCATTAAATAAATCTCTTAATGCCTTGGTGCAATCCCACGTTATAGAAAATATATAGAGAAATAAGAGATGCACTCTCAGGACTTTTTAATAAATCCGTTGGTATTTAATAAATAAAAAAGGTTACATCATCTGACCGACGTTTCGACACTACAGGGTCTTCCTCAAGATATATATATAATAAGTAAAGATGTATGGGTGATGGTACGGAACACTTCAAGTAAGTATTATAATAACATTTTACAGGATTCTTATTCTCGGATGTAACTAAATAGAGCTTGCTTTTTGATCTGTGAAATGGCGGTCACGTGACTACCCACATTGCACACAGTCTCTCTTTAGACGAGGTGACATGAGAGCACAGTGCTAGTGGCATCTACATGAAGGTGGGGGGAAGCTAATATTGCACTACACTTTCAGATTTTGCGTTTTCACAAATTATAACCCAATGGGAATGTTGATTTAAAAAAATGTACCACTGGATGGGAAGAAAATTAAAAAAAAATAATTAAAAATTAAAAAATATGTTTTGCTTAGACTTTTGTATATTTTTTCAGTACTACTCATATACCTACCGTGTTCCTTTTTTAAATACCTTTAACACTATCAGGGTTATTTGATAAAGTCCAACTGGCCCCGAACTGAATGGGGCAAAACCATTTGCTGCTGTCCAGGGCCAGCATTAACATTGTTAATGGAATTCAACAGGCCTGAATTTGGTCAGGTTTTCACACTAACTAAACGCAGCTGAATGACTGCAATCCAGACAAAATTAATCAAATCAAGGAGGCTTTATCCAAGGGCATGTATTAAAAAATCCAAACTATGCAGGCAAATAGGTAAACACCCTCCACAACGCGAGGGTTAGTTATGTGGCAGCTGGCATCAAGCAGTAAAATAACATAAATAAAAATCCTATATTGCTAGAATAGAGATATTTTACCTCCATATGCCCCCACTTGCAAGTGTGCTAAATATCAAAAAGTAGTGACTGATCAGTCATTGTTGTTCATTGTTGGCCGACGCCTTGCTTTCTCCCCAGCTACCACACACCTGCACTATGATATGCCTGCTGGCCCGTTTACACCCCTTTGGACCGGTGGGGGTTATCCCGGTTCCAACTGGAGGAAACCAAAGCGGCAAAGGGAGAGAAGTTATAACTTACCCATCACTTAGATTCACGCACTTTGACAACTTCCACGCTGATTAGGCTGCAAGCAGATCCACTACTGATGGAGGTGATCCAAAGTATTCATCCACAATGGAGCCACTGATCGAGGTGAATGACTCCCTTTCACATTGCTGGGCCATAGTGGGGTGACTCCCTACCACCATGATGCGACACTACAACAGCTGGAGGGCTCTCAGCTACGCACCCTTCCACTTCCGGCAGCCAGATCTGCTTACCTGAAGGAAATGTTGGACATATCCACTTTATGCTGTATAACACCCAAAAGAACATGAACAAGTCTAGGATGGAGAGGAGGAACAACGGTTCTGGCGCAGAATGGATCTCTTGATTATGGCCTATTTGCTACACAGGGCGACCTAGAAAGGAGACATCTTACTACACAAAGTGCCTGCAATCTGTGCCTCATGTTATACTCTTAACTGATGGTAGAGATCCGGCTTAACTCTAGTCACCATTCTGTTTTTAAGTGCTGCGAATTCTGCTGATTTCTTTACTCTATTTTCACATAGCGACCAGTATCCAGTGGAACTAAGTCTATCCTGTTTCATAAGTTAATTCAGCATGTTTAACATCAACTATATCTAGCCTATCTCTTTAATGTATGGAAGGGCTTCAATTAATTTTCAGCTTAATTCCTATATTTATGTAGACATGTAAGCCTAATCCACTGTTCTTACTCCTCATGTCTAGACAATACTGTTAGCTAGATGAATCTTATGTAGAACACCCTTGTAGGCATGTAAGATTACCATGATGTTACCAGTTTATCTAAAAATGCACGGTTTTCTTCATAACTTTCTTTACTTTATTTTTTAAAAATGTGCAGTTTCCTCATTATGATATATGCTGGATATCACTTTATTCAATGATTAATAGCTTGCAAATGTGTTATTTCCATTATGTATCAATGCATGACAAAAATAAAGAATTGAAAAAAACTCATCAGAAAGATGCAGCCGATCAATCAAACAATAATTCTAATTATTCTGCAAGTATGTTCTTATTATGCCCCCACTCCCACAGACACAATTTAATTAGTCCAGTGATACATTAGCAAAAGAACCCAAACTTTCTTGGACAATCTTTGTTTATTTGAATTTTCAAGTTTGGTTAGGATTACAGAAAAAAGAGGAGACAACGTAACAGGTGTTGAAACAGTACAGTATCGTGAGCAAGTATTTCCAAAACTGGGATATACACAATGCAATATTCACAAGATGTCAGGATAGGTTCGAGGCACGGAAAATAGAAAATTAATTCATACTTACCGTTATTTTCGTTTCTCGGATATAGGCCATGGCAGCACTACAGATAGGGTATAGCTCCCCCCACTCTTAAATTAGACAGCAACACCTCCTAGATAAACAAATAAAAGAGAGATCCCTCCTCTAAGTCCTCAGTCTTAGTCCCCAGTCACAAACAAAAAAGAAGGGCGGGATCGTAGTGCTGCCATGGCCTATATCCGGGAAAAGAAAATATCAGTAAGTATGAATTAATTTTCTATTTTCCCGGATGTATCCATCGAAGCTATACAGATGGGTAATACCCAAGCTGAAAACATAAGGGAAGGGGAAAAATAGAAAACCAGCCAATATTTGGAATGCAAAAGAAAAGTTGAAGCTGAAGAAGAACAAAGGCAGAACTAGAAGCTGTGGCAACATCCAACTGGTAGTCATGAATAAATGTATTAAAGGACCTCCAGGTTGCTGCCGAACAAATTCGGTCAAGGAAAACAAGAGGAGGATGGAGCTCTAGTGGAGTGAGCCCGTAGACCCAATGGGATAAGAACTCCAGATGCCAGGTAGGCCTGGGATATGGCTGATACAATCCAACGCCCAATGGAAGAAGTGGAAGCCGCTTGTCCCAGCTTGTGACCTGATGGAATAACTAAAAGTCTGGAGGATTTTCTGATTTCAGAAGTACATTGTACGTAAGAAGATAAGCAACACACTAAATCCAGGCAATGCCATTTTTCCTCTATTTCTGTTGAAGGATTAGAAAAAAAGGCAGGAAAAACAATGTCCTGATTGACGTGGAGGGAAGAAATAACTTTAGGGCGAAAGGCTGGAATAGTCCTTAAAATTACCCTATCTTCTTGAAAAATCAGGAAAGGGGGTTCACATGAGAGCCCGAAGTTCTGAAATTCTTCGCCCTGAAGAAAGGGCCACCAAAAGAACCGTTTTTAATGTCAATGTAGCCATAGAAATTCCTTCCAGAGGTTCAAAGGGAGGAATTGATAGAGCCTGAAGAACCAGAGGCAGATCCCAGGGAAGTGCTGAGGACTTAATCGGAGGACGGAATTTTAGAATTGCTTGAAAGAATCTGCCAATATCAGGATCGAAGGCCAGCTTCTTGTCTAAAAAAAAAAGGAGAGAGCGGAAATCTGCACTCTTAAAGAACACACATTTAGACCTTTATCAAATCCATCCTGTAGGAACTGCAGAATGTTGCTCATATTTGGGCTTGAAAATGAATTTCGTGACAAGTACACTACTCACTGAAAATACCAGATATCCGATGATAAGCTGTAGACTTTTTTTTCTTGCTTTAAGAACAGTATCCGTCACCGAGGCAAAAAAAACCTTTTTTACTAAGAGTCGTTGCCTCTCAATTTCCATGCCATAAATCTCAACAATTGGGGTGCTCTATAGAATACCAGACCTTGATGAAGAAGCTGAGGATGGCCCGATAGATCCAAAGGAGGTTCCTGGGATAGCTTCTTGAGAAGTGGAAACCATGGACGTCTTGGCCAATGGGGAATGATCGCAGTGATGATCACTGGTTCTAGTTGAATCCTCTTTACTAGAGGAAAAATCAGAGGGGTAGGGAAAACACATATCCCTGAATGAACCTCCACTCGTAGGACAGGGCATCCCTGTCTTCCGCCAAAGGGTCGAAGAACCGCGAATAGAATCTTGCCACTTTGTTGTTCAGGTGAGTTCCTGAGGGAATCCCCAATGTCAAACAATGCTCTGTAAAACCTCTGAAGAGAGGGACCATTCTGTCCTATCCAGGGATACTCTGCTCAGGAAGTCTGCAATTTGATTCATCTTCCCTAGTAGATAAATTGCCTTCAAGCCTTCCAGGTTCCTTTCTGCCCAGGACATCAGAGGAGAAAGAATCCTAATCCACTGTTTGCTTCTTGTTCCCCCCTGATGATTGAGATAAGCCACCACCGAAGTATTATCCACCCTGGTCTTGACCCATTGTTGATTCAGAGAGGGAAATCAGAGAAGGGCTTGGAATACTGCTTTCATTTCCAGGACATTTGAGGGGAGATGAAACTGACTGTGGCTCCAAAGGCCTTGGATGTGAAGAGAATCCAGGTATGCACCCCAACCGGTCTGACAGGAATCTGTTGTAATTGTTATCCAAGGAATGTGACCCAGAGGGAAACAGAGGAAAAGATTTTGATCTTTTATCCACCAAGCTAGTTCTTTCTTTACCATGGAGGAAATTAAGATCTTTTGGTTCAGATCGTTGAACCTGTATGCTTGGTCAGCTATGGTCCCTTTGAGGAAGAGGTATCTGCTCAGCAGGTCTGTCTGTTGGCTTGTGCATAGGAATGGAACTGTGTGAGCAAAGAGGATTGCCACCCGACCTCTTGTCATTTGGGTGGTTGGCATAGAATCCCAAAGGGAACCACCTGTTTCCCAGGGTGGGAGCACTGTTCCCCTTAAGGTGGGTTTCCTGGAAGAACGCCACCTAGGCGCGCTCTGACCAGAAGGATCTGAGCATCTGGGTGCCTTTCTCCGGGATGTTCTGTCCCCTTACATTATTAGACCATAGCGGGCCATCGCCCAGGCGCCGAGGGAGGAGGGGGAAAAAGAGAAGAGTGCAAAGGAAAATAGGATGGGGAGGGGGGAGAAGAAAGGTCACAAGGGTTAAAGTGTAAAAAACAGCAGGTAACTATGACTCGTCTCAGGTGGTGTTGTTCAGTAGTGTCATTCCCCAGGGACACTCGTCACCCATATGAACTCTGAGTATATGTACAGGGTGAGTCCATCACATGTGGGTCAAGGGAGTCTGGGAATATGGAGAGTGTATCCGTAGGGGAGTCCATCTCCGAGGGCTCCCAGCCCACAGTTAGGGGCTTCGTAGCAGAACATGCGGTTATAATGGGGAGATGTAGCTCTCTTCTATGGCATGCCGCCCTTTCGTACAGACAAGGCTTTGTGTACAGGCCCCCGGATTTTGCTACGTTGACATTTTGGGGGCAGCCCCAGGTCCTCCCATCCCACCTGCCCTTTCAGTCCAGGGCCGTCCGTGCCTAGCTATTGACATGCATCAAATACCATCGAGTCTGTGTTTTTACATATGTCATTTGTCAACTGTGTGAGATAACAGGATGGCCCCTTTGTAAACAGCATTTAAACAATCATGAAACATGTATAACAGAAACTGTAAAAGGCTACCTGCCCCCACCTCACTCAGGGCGTCCCTATCCCCGCTCTCCCCAGTCTGGCAGGGTTCCACTTGCTGTCCCATGTCCCTGGGAAGTTCAGGGGCCCCTGGCCCACCCACTCCCTCCTTCCGATAGGAACCCATGTGGTGGCCCGGCAAGTAGAGGAGCAAGGGCCCGGCCCAATGTGTTAAAGGCTCCAGTTACGGGCCGGAAAAGTCAGTGCCATATTTCAGAGTCCAGACCTCCAGGGTGATGGCGGTGTTTGGGAAAGCAGGCAGTCTTGGTACGAGCAGCATGTGCAATTCTCCCACAACCTTCCTATTCCCACCCAATGGGAGAGGGACCCCAGGGAGAAGAGGCCAAAGGTCCGGGCAAAGGTCTCAGGTACATACCCTGCTTGGTTGAAAGTCTGCTTCACAGTGTGTCCGTTTCAGGTACAGCAGCGTCCTTTGAAGTGGCATGAGCAGGAAGATGACCCTGGGGTCTGCTCCGACTCCTGCAGAATTAGGCTCCACGTGGAGGTGGTTCCGAGGCCCCTCACGCTGGTGTGGAGTATCTATTCTTCTGGGCCACCACGCCTGAATCCCAGTCCTGGTAAGGCCATTCCCAGCTCGTTCTCCGGGGGGTCCCAACCTAGGGCCCGGCCGCGGCAGTAGGTTCTCCAGTATCCAATTTGATATAGCAACCGCCGGAAAGCCAGAAGCGTGGAACTTCAGCAGGCCAGCGGATAATATGCCAGGAGTTATAATAGCAGATAATATGCCAGGCCTGCAGGCTGTAAGGGAATCCCCACTTGTAGGGAATCCGCTTGTCTTGTAAGAGTCTGGTTAGGGGCCTAAGGGCCCGTCTGGCATCCAGGGTGAGTGCAGAAAATTAAACAGGGCCACCTGTGCATCCATGTATGTGATATTTTGTTGAGGCATATTTCTATGCTTAGAGCTAAAGGCATGTTGCCTAACATTTGTATAGCGAATAAAAAAATTATATGTAATTAAGCAAGCCGAAAAATGAGATAGTGGAGTAACTGTGGAAGGTCAAATCATATGACTAGGTAAATATGTTGATTGTACTCCTTAAACTTTTAGTCTGCACATATTCTATAATAAACGTGATGAGCTAGAATACGTCATGAAGTGCAGAGACATATACGCTAAGTACATTATGTTTAGCTGCCTGGTAGCATATTGGGTCAGTGTAAGAAGTAACAGAGTATACAAGCTTAAACCAGGAATTTACATGACCTGAGTATTGGTACAATTGGAGGGACATCTCGTTGTGGTTTAGAGGCGAAAGGTGAGGCACCAGGTCTTAAAATCCTCTCGGGCATTTCAGCGT